ATTTTCAGTACCAAAATATATAATATAAATTTTAGTAAAATTTTATCAATATTCTTCATTTCGTTCGGAGGCTAGAGTGACGGACGGGCATCGCTAAAACGACATAAAATTTTACTCTGATCAAGAATACATACTTTGTGGGTTCTAACATGTATACTTCGAGGTGTTACAAACGGAATAACAAACTTAATATACCCTCCATACTTTGGTGAAGAGTATAAAAACTGTTAAATTTGATATTTAGATCACTGATGGTATCTGCGTTTGAGATTTGGTGATGATTTGGAAATGCGTCCTATTATATATATGAAAAGTACTGAATGGTACTAAAATTGGTAGTGGATAAAGAGAAAGGGCTAGAATCCTGGTTGGATTTTGGAATTGAGATATGAAGGTGGTTGTGGAAGATGTGAAGGTGGTTGTTCGAATAGTACAAAATAGTACCAAATTTGGTATAGGGTGAGGGAATAGATGTCACTGTTGGTGTATGTGGTTAATGGATATGGATATGGAAATGCGTGCTATAATTATTCGAACATACTAAGTAGTACTAAATTGGATATTGGCTGAAGACATAGAGCTGGAATCCACAAATTTGATTTGGATGTATTTGAGAAAAGAAGCTTGTTTTGGATATGCGTACCATGAAAGTACGAAAAGTGCAAAATGCCACATGCCCACGACACTTGCTGTTGAGATAAAGATGGGATTCTGATATTCGGAATCTAGTCTGTCCATCTGGCTGCTGTAATAACGCTACCTTTCGAACGAATTGAGACAGGCTAAAATTTTGCACACATGTGTATTTTGCCATTAGTTAGTTTGTAATGGTCACTACACCCTATGCCTAAATATTTCGTATACAAGTCCACGTCTTCGTATAGCCCCCCTATAATGGTACCTCACTTTATTCGGTATTTTAATGATTTTAGCGACGTTATTCGCCGGAGTTATTTCAAATTTCGTATTTGCAGTTTTTGTAAAAAAAAAATTTTGGTTAAAACACAAGTCTCGCTCTTAAAATACTTTTTTTTAGATTCTAACCACTGTGACCAATAAGCCATCTTTTTAAATATCATTGACCAACAGCCACTGCTCGTATTCTGGTCGAAATGAATGAATGTAATTTTACCACCAAATATTGTTACATAAATAAAATTACGCACGTTTATTTTGGTCATGTAACAAACAACAACAACAACCACGACTAAACCCCAACAACAACTGCGTAAAAGCAAAAATCATTGCTCACTCTGAAAACTCCATGGTGGCCTCTGCACAATGTACTATCCGTGCTGTCCCATAGAGCCATAGGAGGCCACAGGACAGCAATCATCCGTTAGTCCATCGGTCTGTCCTTCCAGGAGGAGATATTCGCCGCCATAGGTTAAGTGCGAGATGCATTTTTACCGGCAATTTGGTTTAACACAAAATCCAACATTCACACGCAGCCACACACACACACACACAGACAGATACACCTTGGACCAAAACCATACGTCAATGTGAGTGTGTGTGGCTAACCACATAGTTTTAATTTTTGGAATTTAAATGCCTTAAAGAGAAGGGGGAAAGGGGAGAAGAATAACTGAGGTCCATAAAGAAGCGTAACAAAAGGCCACCACAAAGGTTAATATTAAAAGTTATTGTTGCCCCAAAACAACAACAATTTAAATGTAAATAATTCAGCGAAGTCGTTCGCGTTGTTACAATGGAACGTAGTTGCATGGACACCAATTCAAACTCGTAGCATGGCCAACAAATATCCACTGGAGCAAAAGTTTACAATGAACAAAAGTTTTTCTTATTTCATTTAATTAATTAACAACAATGAAACATAACAATAACAACAACAACAAAACAATGAAAATAGTTCTTTGTCTAGCTGGGTTAGCTAAGCGTTAAAAATGTCACGATTTTTATGAAGCGGAGCTAATTTCCTCAGTGGAAACAGAGGAAACAGAGTTTCGAAAGGGGAAAAAAGATTGAAAAGTTGTAAACTTTTATGCGGTTATTTATTCGGCATTAGAACGCAATGAATATTTGTCAGAAAGGTAAATATTTGAGTAGTATCAATGCTAGAATACGTGAATTTTCAGAGATATATGTAGAAGGATTAGCAAAGTTACAAAGCATCCTCAGTTATATGAATGAGATATATAATTTAATACGGCCAAAACGTGCCTCATAGAAATAACGGTTTTAGCACGTTCAGGACATTTGGAGTCGATCTAGCGATGTCCGACAGTACGTCTGTCTGTCTGGCTGGCTAGTGCGCACGATACCTCTCGAAGGGAGTATCCGATTTGGTCCAACCGTGGTACATTGGAATATTATTATTAAACTTAGATCGAGTTCGGAGAGGGTAATACCGGTCCACTCTTTCTGGTACCTCCCACACTAAAGGTCGACATTTTTAAAGAAAATATTTTACTGCACAGAAAGAGAAAGGATAATCTGATTTTGTTCCAACTTTGCAAATCCTAAAATTTGCATCAGTGCTAGGACATGTGAGAAAATGGACAATACCGGTCGACTTCATCAAGTACCTCCCCCACAAAGGGTCAAACTTTTAAAATGTGATGTCCGATTGTCTTCAAATTTCACACATTCCAATATTTTTTTTAACATATGGTCTGGTGTTAAGATGGAATACATCGGTCCACTCCTTCTGGTACCTCCCCCATGAAATTTTGAATATCCATTAAGCTCATAAAACGCGAAATTAACATCCGATTCCATTTAAACTTGGTATATCTCAATATTTCCATCAACACAATAATTGTTATAAAGACGGTAGATATCGGATTATTTCTTTTTGGTACGTCCCCCATACAGGGTGAGATGAAAAAAACTGCAACCAACTTCAGACAGCTGTCATTTCTAAGACACCCGTCCGACAGCTGTTAAAATTATTCCATTATATTGCTTAAAAGCGTACAAAAGCATGTTGGTGAGAATTTTCCAGAAAAAAGTTATTCGTAATAGAATTCAAGCGCGATAGTGTGATTTCTTTATATTTGGCTGGGCAATCACAAGTGGCTATCGTTAGAGCACTCCAGCATTTAAATGTGAATAAATCGTTTGTGTCTCGTACCATCGCTCGTTATCGTGATACTGATAGCGTAGCCCGACGTCAAGGAAGTCGACGAAAGAGAACAGTAACATCAGCAGAAATTATTCGAAAAGTAAAGAATTGACTTGATCGAAACCCGTTTCGCAGTGGCCGAAAATGAACATATCGCAATATTCCATTCGGCAAATATTGACAAATGAGCTCGGGATAAAGCCATTGAAATTCCAAAAAGTGCAAGAACTTACACCGCAACAGAAAGAAAATAGACTCAAAAGAGTTAAAGAGTTGCTTCGTGGAAGTGGTGAACTGCTGAATTTAGTTTTGTCCGATGAGAAAACATTCGTTGTCCAGCAGTTTGTAAACAAACAAAATGATCGTTCTTACTTGCCAAAGAGGTCAGCTGAAATTGTGCTCCTTCGGTTGGCCACCAGAACACAAGCGCCGGCCATGATGATGGTGTGGGCCGCCATAACAGCCGATGGTCGCTCTCCGCTCGTATTAATCAACCGTGGCATCAGAATAAATGCCGAATATTATCGCGGAAATATTCTTGAGGGTGTATTGAAGGCTTGGGCACGCAAACATTTTGGCCGCAGACCTTGGACATTCCAACAGGACTCAGCATGCGCCCCCCAAGAATGGTTACAAAATAAGGTTCCTCGCTTCATTTCCAGCGCATAATGGCCACCAAAATCTCCGGATAGCAAACCGTTGGACTATTATGTCTGGAGTATTTTGGAAAGCAAGGTTGGCTCTAGAAAATACCAAAGTGTCGATCACCTCAAGCAAACGCATCGCCGGGAATGGGCCAAAATATTGCAGAGCAACATTCGGGCAGCGTGTGACGGTTTCATTGGCCGTTTGAAGGCCATAATTCGTGCCAAAGGTGACCAATTCGAAAAAACTAAACTTATACTAAAATGTGATTCTATTTCCGACATTTTTGCTTTCATAAAATAAAATTAAAAAAAAAATTGTAGAAAGCTTTTGACTTTGATGCAGTGTTTTTATTTACCCTGAAGAAAAGATAAAATTTACTAACTCAGAAAAATGCATTTTTTAAGCCATGCCACACTTTGAGTAAATTAGAGAAATGCATTTCAAACTCCTTTCATAAAAATTTTCTTATGACAACTAGTTGTCAAAACATATTAACATTTTAATCAACTTCCATTTTTCATTCATGGAATCAACTTTAAACTTCCAGGCATATTAAAGATGTTTAATGTCAAACTCACACTACAAAGTTTTTTTTTATTTTTTTTGTCGTTTTTTTCAGTTTTATTTTTCGTTGGCTACAATCCATTACATATCACACCGGTACGATGTCATGCTCAATGCCATCAAGAAGTTAAGGAGCAGAGACAAAAAATGGCATCTACAAGAAACTTGAGAAGAAGGATCACAAAAAAAAAAACACCACAAAATATCTCAAAAATGGAAAGGTTACAACATCCTCCAAAAAAAAAGAAAATTGTTTAACGGATAAAGACATTACAGTGTTTGCCAAAGAGGAGGAAAGTCTAGTTCTTTTTTTTTCTTCTAGTGTTTTGTGGCAGCCAAACACCCGTTAAAAGACAAACACAAACAGTCCATGAAATGTAAATGCAAAATACCAAACAACAACTACAACAAAAACAACACCGTTGACAATAAACAAACAACGAAATGCTTGAATAAACGATGAAGATGATGGATGAATGGATATTTAAATGCAATTCAAAAGATGTCCTTTCTGATGGCTTTGCTTTTTATTTCCAATGGGGGGGGGGGCAGAAGTTAAGTTTATTTCTCTTACACATCCCAAAGGAGAGGGAAGGAGGACTAGTTCCCTTTTGGTATGAAGGGTAGTGAGGGTCTTTATTTATATATATTTTTTTGTTTTCAAATGCAAATCTATTTTCAACGATAAAATCAAACTGACCTCATTTGTATTCCAGCGATGACGTTGTGACGGGAAACTGTCAGCTCTTGGCAAGCTTTCCAAATTGTCTGGTAGTTTAATGGGATCACCATCTGTAAAGAGAAAAAAATAACAATAAAAACAATGCAAGATTTAAACGTTTGTTTATATAGAGTGAAAATAGCAAGAACAACAATAAAACTTTGTCCTAAACAGAATATTTATTTATAAGTATCGACCAAAGGATTTGCATTGTTTTGATGGTTGTTAACCATCATCCCCTGTCATTTGAAATCAATTTGTATCCCTTTTTGGTTTTTTTTTTTTTTTTTTTTTTTTTTTGTTTTCGCAGTCCTGTCAAAGAATATTAAAAAGTGAAAATAAATAGTGTTCGCTGATTGGAATGGAAAATATATTTTAAATAGTTTTGAAATGGAGTAAGTTAAATGTTGTTTTAAATAATAACGAAAATATTGGAGGTAGAACTTCACATTGAAGGAGGGGGTTTTAGAAGTTGTTAAAATTAGAATGAAATAATCAATGTATTGTTGAAGACATCATTATTTCTTAAATAAAACAAGTAAGCAAAGACGATAATTGTGCGGGGCCGACCATGTGATACCCTACAACACTACAATATGTTAGAAGCCCCCTTATGTCCAAATCCATTTTGCAAGATTCCCCTTTTGAAATTATGATATAGAAATTATGATATATGACCATGGAAATTTGCAAAATATTGACGCACTCTGTCGTGCTGCTAGTTGTTGTGGTCCATTTTGCAGCTAAGTATAATCCAATGGTCATCCAAAATGCTAGAATTCTTCCCTGTCCTTAACTATCATCTCAGGCGTTTCGATTGGCTTCAATTGTGTGATCAGGAAATTTTTTCTGTTTTTGGTTCATTTGAACCCTCAAATAAAGCAAGAGGCTCCTCTGAATCTCTAAATTTAGTCTAGTCTATATGATTTGCTTGTCTACGATATTTGGCTATATTCGTCAACGGAATCCGCATAGAAAAGTCAGAAGTTCGACTTTTGTGTATTTTGGATTTCGCCTGTAAGTTATTTTCAGTGTTTCGGTAGAATGGAAATATTGGTATTTTTTCACACAAAAGTAGTGGTCCATTCTACCCGCTGTCCTAAACTCTAACTTCATACGAGATTCCGTGTCCTTTGGTTTCTATTTGTGACCTTTATAACGGCTGCAAAATCAGAAATTTTTTTAGTTGTTGGTCGATTTCAACCCCTAAATATATTGCTGACATCTTTGAAATCTAGCCTAGCTCTTCTGAGCCTAACCTTGTGAAAATTTTCGTGAGGATCGGACGATAATTGCACTCTGTATATAACCCCAAATTGTGTTGTAATGTGAAAAAATATTACAAAATGTATACCTTAATATTATAAGTCAAATTGAAAAAATCATATGCGATAAAAAATATGAAAAAAAATAAAAAAAATGTCACAAAATACTACACAATCTATATTAACATGATTTTTGGCATCTTTTTATGCGATTTTTTTAGATTTTATTCTTTTATGCCAAGAGGGCATTCTGAATTGACAAAATTTGTCAGCCGATCCTAGAGATAAAAGCATTCTAGCTAACATCCCCTTCCTTTGTATATACACATTGTATATATTTCGCTATATATGTCCAATATATTTATTATCAGCATCTACGTAATGGTCAGAATTACTTGTTCGTCTATTTGTGATTTCGCCGGTATTAAAAATATTCGCGGTTTAATGGAAAATTTGACTTTTTAACACAAATGTTATGGCCTATTTCACCCGATGACCATAAAAATTGGAATGCTTCTGCCCAACCCTAAGCTCTAGCCCCATGCTAACTTCCGCTTCGATTGGTCTATAATTGCTACCTGTAGAGCAACTACAAAATCAGGAAATTTTTCAGTTTTTGGTCCATTTCAACCCCTAAATATTATGCGATCATCTCCAAAAGAAATAGGGTTATATTCTGGTCTTAACCCCACCTCCATTTTCAATTTCGATCTCCATTTGAGGACCGGGCCATAATTGCGAACTGTAGAGTGATTACAAATTAACATGGACAGACGGGCAGACATAGCTAGATCGACTCAGCTCGGCGAGATAAGATCTATATTTAGGGTTCTATTCTGACCCTATACCCACCTCCATTTTCAATTTCGTGATGATCGGGCCATAATTGCGACCTGTAGCATGATTACAAATTGACATGGACAGACACACATACATAGCTATATCGACTCAGCTCCGCGAGATAGAAAGATCCATCTATTAAAATCTATTACAACATCTAATAAAATTTGACTTCACTAATTAAGATATTATTCTATACCTATAAAAGAAGAAAATTATTTGAAACTTATGGACTCAAAAACCGCTACATCCAAATATAATACAGCATTGCCTGAAAGTAAAATAGGCTATATAATTATTAGAAATTCTACAGGAGATATATATAGCATCAGAATCGGATGCTATATATTTTTGAATTTGTATGCACATATCTATTGAGCGGTTACTGATTCCAGACCAGAAAAGAGAAATAAGAATGTTTATGTACGTCGTTGTACTCTTCAAAATAAAGAAGTTGATTAAGCCGACAGATGTATACCCTAAGCCACTGTTTGATTTTTTAAATATATTTTGACTTATGTTATGATTATTCAAATGTTTGACCCTCTATGGTGTAGGTTCCGAAGTAATAGGAGAATATTGTCCGTTTCGTATAGGACCTAAATATATATGATATAAATATTGCGATGTGCCAGGTTTGGACTATATTGGTTGCTTCCTTCACTTTATACGAGATATGGAATAATTTTTAAAAAATGTTAAAATGTGAATCCACCGAATTATTCCACTTTCATGATTCATCTAATACAAATAAAAATGATGTTATGGTTAAAATTACAAGAAAATCGAACATCCATATCAAATTTTATGCGAGATTATAAATTCAATATTCATCACAGGTATCTGGTTGAGACGAAAATTTGGATATAACGAGTTGTAAAGAATTGCTGACTTGTTTCGCAAGTTATGACAGATAAAAGTATTGAAACTTTTGTAGGTGAGGTACCAGAAGGGGTTAGCAGATATATATCTTCTTCACAACAGATCTTATGTTAGCAAAAATGTTTGTATGTGTGAAATTTGGATGCTTCTCTCGCTTTCTTTCAGCGTTTTGTTTTTTCAAAATCTTGAACCCTATGTGGGAGAAGAAATGGTTCCATATCTACCATCTTTATAATAAATATTGTGTTGATGGAAATATTGAGATATAACAAGTCTGAATGGAATCGGATGTTAATTTGCCGTTTCATGGGCTTAATGGATATTTAAAATTTTGACCTTTTGTGGGAGGTACTAGAATGAGTGGACAGCAGATCTTGTGTTGGTGGAAATAATGGGATGTGTGAAATATGAAGAGAACTGGAAGCTTACTTCGGATTTTAAAATCGTTTTGGTTATTCAAAACTTTGACCTTTGTGGGTGAGGTACCAGAAGAAATGGTCCGATCTCTACCATATTAATAACAGATCTTGTATCGATAGATATAATGAGATGTAGTAAGTCTGAATGGAATCGGATGTTCATTTCTCGTTATATGAGCTTCGTGGATATTCAAAATTTTGACCCTTTGTGAGGGAGGTACCAGAAGAAGTGGATTGATATATCCCATCTTCACAGCAGGTCTTGTGTTAGTTGAAACAATGGGATGTTTGAAATATGAAGATAACCGGATGCTTATTTCAGATTATATGATCGTTTCGGTTATTCTAAACTTGGGCCCTTTGTAGGGGATGTAACAGAAGGAATGGTCCAATCTCTACCAACTTAATAACAGATCTTGTGTTGAGAAAAATATTGAGACATGCAGGTCTGAATGGAATCGGATGTTAAATTCGCGTTTTATGAACTTCATGGATATTCAATATTTTTACCCTTTGTGGGGGAGGTATCAGAAGGAGTAGACCGATATATTCCGTCTTAATACCAGATATTTCGCCTTGATACCAGATCTTGACTTCATAAAAATATTTGGATGTGTGAAATTTGAAGACAATCGGACTCTTACATCATATTTTATAAGAGTTATAATTATTCAAAATTTTGACCCATAGTGGGAGAGGCTCTTGATGGAGTGGATCAATATTATTCATTACGCATATATTAGGATTTGCAAAGTTAGAGCAAAATTGGATTATTGCTTCTGTATATATGAACAATATCGGTCCATTCCATTAAGTACCTCCCCACAAAGGGTCAAATTTTTGAATAATTATAACTCTTATAAAATATGAGATATCAGTCCGATTGTCTTCAAATTATACACATCACTATATCTTTATTAAACATTGGCTTTCAAGCCCTACTCCAGTGGAAGAAAATATTCTAAAAACAAGCAAAAAAGCAGATAAGAAAGGTATTCTATAAACAAGTAAAAAATCATCTAAGTTCGACCGGGCCGAACTTTTAATACCTTCCACCATTTGGAAGGAACTTGAAAAATTTCAACAAATTCCGAAAAATACCGTTTAAGTGATGAACTTTAAAACGGGGGGTTATATAAAGACGCGGACCTGCATAAGTCATTTTTTGTCATAGGCCCATTAAGATATTCAAATACGAAATTTAAAACAATTACGGTAAATAATGTCGTTAAAATCATCAAAATACCGAATATCGGGAGGTACCTTTTTATAGGGCCTATACGAAAACATGGACCGACATGGCCCATTTACGAACTTAAGCTGCCTACTGGGAAAATACACATATGTGCAAAATTGTTGCCTTATATAGCATTTTCAGATTAAATGAAACCTTTTGCAATTCAAATGAAACTTTTTGCAGCGGGAATGAAACCTTTTGCAGTGGAATTGAAACCTTTTGCAGTGGAAATGAAACCTTTTGCAACAGAAATGAAATCTTTTGTAACCGAAATGAAACTTTTTGCAAATCAAATGAAACTTTTAGATTTTTAGAAGGAAAAATAACTAAACATTTTTATTTTTAGTAGGTTTAAAATTAAATCAACTAATTATAACTAATATATAGTTAAAGAGGAATTTTTATTGATTATTAATATTTATGTTTTT